GCCAACCGTATCCTGGGCTGCATCAAAAGAAGCGTGGCCAGCAGGTCGAGGGAGGTGATTCTGCCCCTCTGCTCTGCTCTGGTGAGGCCTCACCTGGAGTACTGTGTCCAGCTCTGGAGCCCTCAGCATAAGAAAGACACGGACCTGTTGGAGCGGGTCCAGAAGAGGGCCACGAAAATGATCAGGGGGATGGAACACCTCTCCTATGAAGAAAGGCTGAGAGAGTTGGGGTTGTTCAGCCTAGAGAAGAGAAGGCTTCGGGGAGACCTTACTGCAGCCTGCCAGTACTTAAAGGGGGCTTATAAAAAAGATGGCGGCAGACTTTTTAGCAGGGCCTGTTGTGACAGGACAAGGGGGAATGGCTATAAACTAAAGGGGGTAGATTTAGACTAGATCTAAGGAAGAAATTTTTACGCTGAGGGTGGTGAAACACTGGCACAGGTTGCTCAGAGATGTGGTGGATGCCCCATCCCTGGAAACGTTCAAGGTCAGGTTGGACGGGGCTCTGAGCAACCTGATCTAGTTGAAGATGTCCCTGCCCGCTGCAGGGGGGTTGGACTAGATGACGTTTAAGGGTCCCTTCCAACCCAAACTATTCTATGATTCTATGTCTCCTCCTCCTCGGTTAGCTGGGGACTCTTGGCCCCACCAAATGCCAGCAGCCATCAAATCAACCTCCAGTCTGCAGCTCGGCAGTGAGCATTCCTGAGCCAAAGGGATTCCTTCAGTCATCTCCCTCTTCCCGGCTTATCACCCCACAACACAAGCTCTGTGAATGCCCTTGATGACTATTTCTGGGATTGAATGCTGGGTACTGAATAACCTCTTCCCCATGAGTCCTACTTTATAGACGTTCCGCACCTGGCAAGTCTTGTACTTACACTGGTGGCACTAATACTTCCATACCAAGTATTACACAAGACATTAGCTACATATTTTCTGAAGATCACAATCTCTACTAAATTGCCAGCTGTCTATGCAGACCACTCAAGAGCTATTTGGGTATGTTAAGTACAGATGACAGACCCGATAACAGTGTCTGGATGTGCCTGAAAGATTAAATTCCATCTGCATCCTGTTACTTTTTGTCATTTCATACCTTTTTGGAGTCTTCCTGTGTCACAACAACCAACTGGTAAAGGAGCTTGTATCACAGGCTTGCAAACTTAGAGAAGAAGAAAATCCCCTAAATGCTTTTTTGGAGTGACTGGGTACCTGGAGACATGCTACAGGGGATGTTTTAGTAGCCCTTTAAGTGGGAAGGCCAGTTCAAGAAAAAAATGGATGGGATTCCCACTGCATCAATGTCCATTAACTTCCTTTTAAATTGGGTTGGGTGGGTCTTTGTTCCAGCTATTGTATATCAGACTCACCATTAGGCTTTGTGCTTCCAGCAATGCAAATAACAGATCTCTATTCAAAAGCTTTTCAACCCCTCTTACTGTTGCAAGATGAGCAAGTATTTGTTTCCACAAACCAGAACCAGGCTTACACCATTACAGCCTTTTCTGTTTTCCAATGTACCCCTGAAAAAAATATCAAAGGAAGCTTAATATGCTCATTTTGATACTGATATGACCGATTCCTAAAAAAGCAAAACAAAAAGCCCAATAAACCTGAGGACTTCACTTTAATGATTATTTTCTGCTCACTTCAAAAACTCCTCCTCTCAAATAAGTGGGCAAAACAGATGAGCTGCAGAGCACCTCGTTACCAAATCTGCATTTTCCGGGCATACTACGCTGCCTGGGTTTGTTCACAGTGAGTCCATCTCCATCCTCTGTTCTTGGCCCACCCAGCAGAGAGGCCCCAATCCCGGTCCCTCCTCTACCTGCAACTGGAGCTGAAACATGGTAGCAAGCTGAATTCACTGGCACTCTCAAATAGAACATTTCATTAAGGAACTTTTAAATAAACAAACAAAACCCAACACTTGCACTTCATAATTAAGTGCAAGCCAACTGAATTGGTGTCAAGACATGCCATAAGCAAAAGTATCTGAACCCTGGCACCCCTGTGTCCCTAGCAGGCTCTGAAAGGAGAGCTCCAGCAGCTTGTACTGCAGCAGACCCTGACCTTACTTCTCTTTGGGACTACAGCTCTTGTAGAGGAGTGGGCAGAAGCCAAGACATGCCCAGGCCCTGCCTGCTCCCACTCAGGGTGCAGGTACCTGTTCCTGTGGTGCTGTAGGCATGGCTTGAGAGGCACAGGGACATCGCTCCCCTGGCTGCGACTGAGGTGTGACTTTCCAGCTGAGGAGCAGTAACTGCTGGGAGGGTAAGACCTCTGCTGCAGCCTGCAGCTCAGTGAGCTCCCACCGAGCCCAGGGAAGTTGACAGCACTTGAGTGCTCCCAGGTTTTTCGAGAAGAGTATTTCACTGTAACCAGCACAAGGTACACAATACGGGCGCCAAGTGAGGCACAACATGACTTACAGCTGACTTCAGTGGGCTTTAGTTTGATCCATAAATCCTTCACAAGGAGTGAAGAGCAACACTTTACAAGAGTGTTGCTCAACTCCCACTGCCTTCAGCCTCACAAGAGGTAGACATAAATACTTAGCATTAGCATAGCTCCCCATGACTCATTTTTTCTCCTTTTTAAATATAGCATCCTATAAATGTGGATACATTCTGAGCAAAAAACCTCATATTGTTACTGTTCACCATGCACCAAAACAAAAAATTCCTCCTGCCAGCTTTGCAACAGCTTCCTCCCCTAAAACCGAAACACTGGTGCCCCTGACACGGCCGGGACGGAGCGAAGGTGGCTCTCCTCCGTCAGGGAGCCCAGGCAGCACAGGGACACAGCACGGCGGCAGCAGATGTGGAGCCAGCGGCTGGGCAGAAGGCTTCATCGTCAACCCAGCCACTCATATCAACTTTATTAAAAAGAGCGGAGCTGGCTATGGGCACACGAAGAGCAGGGATTTGCCCAGAGGAACGGAGTTTTGATAGCTGTGAAGCAGCCTGTGCCAGCATCGGGGAAGCTGGGCTCACTGAAGACGCGGTGGTGGCATCTCTAGCTGAGGGATGCTCCCCATTCCCCATCTTCCCCCAAACATACATCATCTTCCTCCCTCCATCACCAGACTTGAGCCTTCCTCCTTAGAAAAGCCAAACACCACCTTGTCTAGCCAAGGAAATGCCCCAAGCTGCCTCAGAAGCACTGAGGAGGAACCTGATGGAAGACCATGGACCAGAGCTTGGTGGTTTTCATGGGAATTGAGACCCAGTTTCAGCACCCTCCTGCCTGTCCTGCTGCAGACTTTCCTGTGTGATCCAGTGTGCTATGTTTAGCTTTACTGAATACTCCAGTTCCCCAGCTGTACAAGTCAGATAAATAGTAGGTCCCTATTTCACAGGTAAGTTGCAAAATAAATAGATTTTGCATTACAAGTGTTACAGGAATGCTTTAAAAATTGCACAAGTACCAAGACTAATCCATCACTGCTTAAAAAGAAACCTAAACCTACACAAAAGTAAATACTAGAGTATGCAAGACTGTTTTCTTAGTTTACCTGTTTCTTCTAATAACCTTGTTTGCCCTGGTGACTCGAACTGTTCCAGTCACAAGTTGTTTGAATTCAGTGTACCAAATTGCATCTGGAGAAACGTTATGTTTTGCTCTGTCTACAGTGATGGCTGAGACATCAGCCATCCTCCCAGCTGCCCTAAAGACATAGCTGAAAATACATGCTCACATCCATCCTGCTGTCAGGTGACTGAAGAGTAGATGTTTTTACATCTTAGACCTCTCTAGTAAGATCACCCTTGAGAATCTATTTTCCACAGTATTTTTCTAATTGTTTCTTCAACCTCCTTATTTAATATCTGAAATGAGTGGAGCGGCAGAGCTGCCACGCTCATCCCAGAAACTGTCATTTTAAAGACATGGTAACAGAAGCCTTTTCTTAAAACTTCCAGGAGTATGTGTGGCTTAAAAAGCTGATTCCTGTTTAAAATAATGACTAAGACTCTTAGGAATCTAACTCCCAAAGTCACACAGGTAGTTTTGAATATGTTACCATTTTAGAGTAATTATGCCATCAAAGTTCCAGTCAAAAGCAGTTACTAATATATGCCAATGAGTGAGCCTGTAAGTGAAAGACCTTCTTGCTTTATTTACACTCCAGTAGATCAGAAAGCACACCAAGACTTATTTTCACACACAAGAGTAACAGACCTGACCCCAGGAGACACTTAGCCAGGTTAACCCACAGTCCAGGGAGCAGGTTTATTGCAAACTGGCTGCGAGCTGATGCAGTTGTACTTGTTTTCACTGGAGATGATGGAAACTTGGAGCAGCTGTTTGGTCTTCAGTGGACTAACACCAGTCACTACATAAACCAGTGGTCTGGCCCACTGTCTTTGATCATTACAAGTCACCATTCAGATGCGAAGTAGTCCCCAGGAAGTCCTCAGTGACACTCATCTCTAGACTATGAACTAGGCATATGCAGTCAGGAGTTGGCAATAACCAAAGAGAGAGAGCAGAGATCAGCAAACCATTTGGGGACATTTCCACCACCTTTGGGAAAATACATAGATATTCTGCTCCATGAAATGAAGTGCCCGTTTCAGGTAGGTTTAGCAAGTTAATATGGGAATGAGAACTGTAGTACGTTCAAAAGAGAGGCTTTGTATGAAACTATGTGGAATTTGCAGCAACAAAGAAGGCTTAGATAGTGAAGGGTTGAGAGGGATGAAGAAAGAATTAACCATTTTTACCACACTGCATAAAGTTACGTATTTGCTACAACGTTCTTTCCAGAAGCAGACCTGAAAGAGAAGGCAAAGTAGGCACTATGTTACCTGGGAGAAGACAAAGGGGTATCAGCACACTTTTTAAGTTGCTCTATAGTAGCAGTAGAAGAAAGTGCAATAAAGTAGTTCAAGATTTTAATCTCAAGCCCATCAATGGCAAACAAATTCTGAGGCAAAGAAGATTTAGCCAAAAATTAATAAAAAAACTCCACTGTAGAAGCGCTGAGCGATTCTGCTGGTCAATTCTGGCCAGAAGAGAAGCAGCAGGAAGGGGAATCCAACCCCAGAGTATCTCAGATACTTCAGAAGGCATCTAAGTATCCCAGCATTTGCTTATTTATGCTCCCAACACACCCCACAAAGAAGAAACTTCTACTACCCCATTTTAGAAAGAAGAAAAGTGGGCTCAGTGAGAGGCAGATTCACAGTTATGGGTATCTGTAAGAGTTGCTGACCTTAGCCTACCCGCCTCTGTGCTGTCTGTGACAGAGAAGGTACCCGGGGGTAGGTTTCCCATCTCTTCAGCTAGCTCCAGCCATTGGACTCGTCCCTCTGATGAAACCTATACATCTCTGCAGCCCTAACCACCACCTACTGAAGAACTAGCATCTGAAGCAGTAAAATTAGCAGGAGAGTCAGTAATAAGTACAGCAAACTACTTAAAAATATCATTAACCTCCCCCAACCCTGCTACCACATCTTCCCTCAATCATTATTTCAGGAGAGATATTTTTGTATAATTATTTCATCATCTGAGAACAGGTGGCCAGTTTGCCATATCTCTGTGCAAGACTTCCATACGTATTACTCCTCCGCTGACATTTTCTCACATATACATGCATGCATGGATCAGCAATTGCTCCACTACATTCTCAAATGGAGAATAAAAGAGTCATAAATCTCAAAAAAAAAAAAAGTACACTAAAAAATTCAGCATCTAGAAGTTACAGCTGTTCATTTCTCTTCTCTGTTCAGAAAGGGCCAGTCATGGCTTATTGCAGGTGTTATTGAAGTTGATAGACTTGCTCTAGATTTACATTGGATACAAACTCAGGACCGCTGGCCCTTTGTTTCCCCATGGAGAAAAATACAGCCAGCAACATTAAAGTAGAACAGGAAGGCTGTACTCCCCTCCCCGCTAAGTATCTTCTGTCAAGTCCCTCTGTAGGCAACAACAGGAGAAAGAAGCAATAACTTCACCAAGGAGTGGGCTAACATTCCTCCCATCTGCCAGTCCCACGCTCATTCTGTTTTCACTTGGACCAAATCCTCCCAACCCCTTCTGCTTTATACCTCATTAAACGCGGGTGCCTCAGACACCAAGAATATTATCGCTGATCTTTGAAAAGTCACTTTCAAGGCACATTTCCCTATCTTTTAACACTTCTCCTCTTTCTCAGCCCTGTCTATAGTACTGTCTTGGAAGCCTGAAAATGAATTCCCTATTTTCCATATTGAATCTGTCCCCTCAACCATGATCTACTTATTTATGACAGTAAAAGCTTATGCAAACACCGCCACCATGCAAAAACACTCCCCTCCTCGTTCCTGTGGATTCATGTTAATATTCTCCATCTCCTGAGTCTGGAGTACCCTCTGCTTCAAGGGCGGCACATTCCCACGCTGAGGTGCAATTCCTCCTGCCTCCACCTCTGCAGGTAAGAGAGGTAAAGGGATGCACCGTCATGAAGAAGTTACAATGCTGAGGCAAGGGCAGCTCCCACGCATAGGGGCACCACACTGCACCAGAGGCCCCGTGCAGGCTGCAAAGGCTGGGTGAGGCTGCAGTGAGGAGCCACCAGGAGCGACAGCATGGCTGGAGCAGTGCAAAGCAAACAAACCAGGCAAAACCAAATTAAGACTGGTTCAGTTGAAGTCTGGAGCCTAAAACTTTCACAGGGCAGACTGATTCATCCTAATGAACTGGCTCACCTGTACCCAGCAGGTCAGCAGGGATTCCCATCTTGGCAACTGTGGGAGGTAGGTAGAGGCTCCTGGCTTGAATATAGCCACAAAAAATATTTCACACCCAAATAGGGAAGATAAAAAGGAATGGGCAAAAATGAATGAAGCCAAACAGCTTTCCTCAAGGAGCCCTCCAGAATTAAGAGCAGAAGGGAGTAGAGTTTCTGCCCTGATGGTCTCAACAGCAAAACACCACCAGCAGCACGTGGTGCAACCTAAAGGGCCATGCAGGTCTCGGGTACAGGACACTGTTTCTGTCTGCAGTTAAAGAGGAGCTCTAAGGAACCACAGGACAATGTCAACAATAATGATTCATCACATTCATTTTTCCTATATTCACTTGTCCTTACATTGTCCTCATGTACTACTTTGCCAATGACAACACCAGCTCATGTACAGGACTCGCCCTCCTCCTTCCAGTCCCCAAATGCCACGCCTCCCCCAGTGCCAAAAAAAAATGTGTGGGGAGAAGGAAAGAAGTCCTTTCTAACCACCACATGATACAGTTTTATTCCTCCCTCTTGTTAGCCTCAGTCCCAGTTAAGAAAAAAACCACCCAACGCAACACATACCAAAAACTCCCCCCATGAAGAAGGCAAGCTTTGTTTCTGTAATTCTTAGTTCCTCTGCAAAAAAATCTGAGCTTGTGAAAACACCCACCAAAAACTTCAATAAATAGAAACTGCCTTTCACATCATTTCTGAAAACAGATGCTGGGCCAGCTCCGACCCTGGTGCAGCTGCTGTGGTTCGGGAGTCATGCTGGTGGGGTGTCTGACCCTCTGCAACCTGGGCTACACACTCTATCGTATGGGATATCTCCTTGAATGGAGGAGCAAAATAAAAGAAAGTCAAACAAACTGATGCAGAACAGAAGAACACCTATTTTTCTATATGCGCTATTATTTTTAAAGAGATGCTGTCAGCTTCGTATTTTCAGACTCAAGTACATAGAAAAAAATCCTATCTCTATTAGGCAGTCCAAAGCTGTGCTACGGAGAGCTGGTTTTTTAAAGCTATTACTTCATAATTTCCTTGCCACACCCTCGTTCTCTCTCTTATCTTCTCCTAGTTTTTCTTAAATGAATAGACCCCATTTTTGCCATGCCCCTAACAGATTCAGACAAGCACCTTTCATAAAGAAAAATAATGACAGCTGACCCATGCAGTCTTAGGCCTTTGAAATGCATCTCTCTTGTGCAGAAAGGGCCTGAGCTAACCAGATAATTTCATAGTGAAAATTCAGAAAGCACATCTATATCCAGGTATGACTATAAAGTTGGTGCACTTGTTTTTAGTACCAACTATTGTATGAACAACGGTTTCCAGATAAGACATAAACAGAACGTTTCCACTCAACAGCATCCCTGTAAGCCTGCCACCAAAATCCAAACTTAGATGACTTAAGATACCTGAGGAGTTGGTGGCTTAGATTTTCACACTTCTATAACATTAGGCAACTAATGTAGAAAAGTGCCAGCTGATGGGTGCAGAAGGGCTGCAGTGACCTGTGCTGGGGGAGAGCCTCACACAGGGATCAGGACTCCACCGTGCGCTTTGCTCTTCTACAAAACCCCAGCCTCTACTCCGAACTGCCACGGTGTAAAGTCCCAATTTGTTGCATAAAGTCATCAGCTCGACAGGGAGGGTTACTCGAGCAGCCAAGCGCAGGATGCTGAGACTGGTCCACCCAAGGTCTAACTCTCAACTTGCTCCTCAACTTTGTCTTAGTTTCTCTGTCTGGGAAGCAGGGTTTTCTAAAGGCTGTTTCTAGGGCTCTTGAGCCATTTAAAGAAAGAAAAAGAAAGTTACAAGTTTTCTTTCTAATCCCCAGCAATCCCAAGCACAAGAACTGAGAAGTCCTTGTCCTTCAGCTGTGGTTCAGTTCATTTTGTTAAAGCAGAGAAAAAGTAAAACCAGAAAAAAAAGTACCTCCTCCTCTCCTTGTTTCTTTGTAATTAAAGACAGCATCTATATCTTTCTTCTGAAAGTCTAGCAAGTAACTCCAACACAAGAATCTGGAAGCTTTCACAGAGTATTTAGTGGTCCAAGAGCAGTTTTAACGCAAGATAAGAAATCTTGCAATACGCAGATGGCAACACGCAAGGGGTAGGAAAGTAAAAGATTAGCGCGGCTCTGAATCTTTTGGGGGGACAAAACGCCAGGCACAACAAAAATCCAACAAACCCTCGACTTATAAAGACCTTTCATTACCCAGCGTAACTCGGAGTGACCCCCTCTCCCCACCGCACGCCCAGAAGAAGACACGAGACCCACAAGCGGTCCAAGCGTTGCTTTATGTAGTCCATTTTCAAGCGTTCGGCAGGGAAGGAAAGAGCCCCCCCCGCGCCCCCGGCACCGAAAGCCCACCGCCGCCGCGCACCAAGACCCGCGGCACAAAGCGACCGTACCGTCCAAAGCCC